AATTTCGTGAGTGCTACTAATTTCATTTTATTTTTTATTGAATTATCCCTATTTATATGGGTCATGGGTACATGGGTTAGTCTTTCATTTTCCACTAAGTCCACTCCTTATTGTGCCATGTGTCACGTTTTGCCTTAAACTGCCAAAGAAAGTTTTATTCTCCTTAATCACACTTTCTCCAAGAAAAACGCACCCCACTTCTTCATCTTCTCCACTTCAATTTTTTTCTGCAAATTAGGGCTTATAAATTTCGTGCTTCTTTTTCGAAAATTCACACTCAAAAATCAAAAGCACAAGAAGCAATTTTTATCTACTGTATCATGGCATCTCCTCCTAGAAATCCTCTTCCAGCCGCCGTTGGTGATGTCCACAACGATGCTGCAGCACCTGAACCAGCAGACCATAATCTAGCCATCATCGTTCATCCTGTCAACCTTGAAGCTATGCCGATCAGCTTTATTGAGCCCGGAGACGAGCTGAATCCGATTGACCCAGACAACTTCGAGTACGTGGGTCCCTCTTCCACTGCCGGAAGGTTTCCAACTCGCCGGTCCAAGCGCATAAATCCTTTCCCAGATCTGAATACTACTGGGTCACAACGCCGGAGGGAAGAAAATTCTCCCAGCAGAGGCGGCAGAGGTGGAAGAAGAGGCGGCAGAGGTAGTCGTACTCCAGTTAGGCCAAACTCACCAAGAGGCCTTCATTTGGTTGATGAAGAAACCGATGATGAAGAAGGAGATCCAACCTTTGCAGAACCAGAAGCCCAAGCTCTCTCCTCAAGATTTACTGAGTCATCCTCCAACGACTCAACTCCACCAGCATCAACTCAGGGGGAGACACTTCAGCCTAACATGGCAGCAGCCTCTTCTCAAACATCCTGTTTCCGAAGATGTTGCTGCAGATGTTCCTGAAAATGCTGCCGCACCTACTGTCTCAGACAATGCCCTTCAGAATGCTGCTGAGGATGCTGCTCCCTACCAGGATGAGGAAATGCCTGATTTTTTTGGGATGTCTTCTGCTGAGCATGTAGACATTCCCACTGTTGATGCCCAGGATTTCACCACCACTGAAGAAACACTCTCTGCTCCACATGAAGATCCACTGGAAACTCTGGCAGAGGCAGCTGTTCAAGTGGATGCATCACCTTCCCAGGCTGAAGAAGAAGAGAAAAATGATGATAGCTGGGAAGTTCTCCTTGTCTCATTTCGCAAAAAATTGCCACCCTCAGAGTCAGACAGTGACTCGTCTGAGGAATTCTCTCAGATGAAGGAAAATGCTGCCCCACGTGTTGCATCACCTGAGCCAGCATACATCCCAGATGAACTTGAAGACTCAGAAGAAGAGGAATCTTCTGAGGAAGAAGAGCTGAAATTGGATGGGAATGATCTGTCAACTCCTTTTGAGGTAAACAATGCTTTCAGTACAACCTTTTATTTTGAATCTGATTCAAATTTGAGTCCTCAAATCATGAATTGCCAATTCATTGAGGAGAAGAAAATTTCCAAGGATGAGTTTAATAGACATAGGATTACTGATTTTCGTGATCAAAAGAAAAATCCTTAGTCTAGTTGAGATTGCCTGTTCTTATGATCCCTCTGTTACAAACCTCTTTTTTAAAAAATTCTCCAAACTTTGGCAAAGTTTTTGTGTGAAATTTCATTTTTTTTTCCCAAAATTATCAACTCTCATTTACAAACTCCTACTGTGATTGATGAGGATAATTATGGTGATTTTACTGAGGTTTGTAAGACTCTTTCTGGCAATCGTTTAAAATGTTGACCTGCTCACCCCAGAAAATTCAAAGTTTCTCAAATCACTGCATTTTATTCTGTCTTGTTCAGACTCACAGTGATGAATTGGATTCCATCCAAAAATGTCTCTGTGGTTACTAAACCTCATGCAGTACTCATGTACAAATTGGGGATGGGATTACAAGTTGATTTTGGCAAACTTTCTTTAAAAATTTAGGTCATCTTGCCCAGAAAATTTCATCCTCCACTCATCTTTCGTATCCTTCTCTCATCTACTCCATTCTGTTTTCTCAAAATTTGGGCCAAGATTAATCATAATATCTTCACACTCCACTTGGCATGATAACTGTTTCTCAAAATTTTCTCAAAGCTACTCATGTCCAAGATCTTCCCTGGAATGGAGATAATTTTCTCTCAACTGAATCAGGTCAAAATAATCTTGGTACTGAAGGTGTTGCTCCTCATGTTGACAACACCCCTGACAATCTTGTTTCTGTTCCTAGAGATCTCTTGTTACAACAGCTTACTCACTCTCTAGCTCAGATTACCTATCACCAGTCCATGGTGGAAATGCTCCAAAAAACTCTTTCTGATCAAAAAGGGGGAGAAAAAGCTAGTCATGAAGTTGAAGCAGGGACTTCTCATCATTTGGATGCCAGAGACAGAGAACATGGAGTTAATGAAGAAGAAGAAAAAAAATGAGGGTGAAGCTGAAGAAGAAGAAAAGAATGAGGGTGAAGCTGAAGGAGCAGAGGAAAGCAGCAGCAGCTGATACTGAGGACACTTTGGATATTCTGCTCTAAAGTTATTTTTATGAACAATATTTGTTTTTGTTCAGTTTGTTATTTTCCCTCTGATCTTTTATGCTAGGATTGCACTATTATTGTTATTTGCTATATTGGTTATCATATTCAGGGGGAGTTCAAGCAATGACTCATGGGGAGTTAAGCTAAAATTTAGTTTTGATCAGAAAGTTAAAAAGGGGGAGTTTGAAACACGTGGATTATTTCCACATTGTGTTTTTAACTTTCTTATTTTTTAAACTAAATTTTAGTTATGGAATAAGTAGTGCTTAGTGGGTTAAGTATAGTGCTTAGTGGGTTAAGTATAGTGCTTAGTGGGCTAAGTAGTGCTTAGTGGATTTAATTGTGGATTTTATTCTAACTTCCTAACTAACCCACTAACCCATGTTCTTGAGTGCTCTTGTGGTTGGTTTTCTTGCAGATCATGAGCTGAGTAGTGGATGCTTGGAATGCTTATAAATACCGAATTCAATACTCAAGGAAGATTATCGATTCTACGAAATAAAAAACCGAGAGCTGAAAAGAATACATGAGTGTTTTAGAGTGGTTTTAGAATTGGTCGTTTGTACTCCTCATGAGTACAATCTTTACGTACTCCTTATGAGTACATTCTTTACGTACTTCTCATAAGTACATTCTTTGTAGTCTAGATTGTTTAGTATATATGTTTCTAGACTTGGTTGTAAGAATGATCAAGATAGTGATTCATTCATAAGTTCTTTACGTACTCCTCACGAGTACATCTTTGAAATCTAGAATTTTTAATATTTTTCTTTTAGTATCTAGATTTGATTGTAAGAATGATCTTGAAAAAGATTCATTCATAAGGAAGAAGTTTTCGCACCTCTTCTGTTTGTATTCTTGGAATACTGATTTTAATATATTTTTCCGTCCTGTAAAGGGCAAGTTCACAAGTCTTTACTTGTGAACATTTTTAATTCTGAGTATTGTTCTTTTATCTTTATATTTCCGCTGCATGTTTGTTCAAGTGTCATAACACTTAAGATAACACCTCTGTATTAAACGAATTCGGGACCATAAATTATTTCATTGATAGAACCAAATTGAGAACCGTTAAAAAGGAAAGAGTACGAGATAGAATAAATACACAACATGATTAACTCAATCAAAGCATGAGGAAAACCTAATCGAGAAAGAACATTCTTTACGAAGCACCATTCAATTCGATCGTACGCCTTACTTATGTCCAATTTAATTGCCATATAATTTGTAACGCCTCTTAGTATTAGATTTAATATAATGGTTAATCTCATAGGCTACAAGGACATTATCGGTGATCAAATATTTTGGGACAAAGGCTGGGTTTGGGAGATAACTTCATTGAGAACGAGTTTAATCCGATTAGCAATAACCTTAGAGCCAAATAATATTACACAAACTAATTGGTCGATACTCAGTTATTTTTTATGGGTTCTTAACCTTTGGAATAAGGACAATGAAAGTAAAATTAAGGGATGAAGGGAGCTTATGATTATTCAGAAAATTCAATACACATTTAATCACATCAGCCCCAAGAATATGCCAATATTTTGTGTAAAAATGTATAGGAAGACCATCCGGTCCAGGAGATTAAAGGGTGACATTTGGGAAATAGCTCGGATTACCTCATCTGTTGAAAAAGGGAGGGAAAACATCTGAGCTGCCTCATCGGAAACCCTTGACTCGATCTGTGCAAGACCTCATTCACGACACTCTCCTCTGGGAACGTAGTCTGGAAGATTGTCAAAATAACTAGAAATGACATGTTCAATATCTGTATTATCCATCCGTCTTTCACCCCTATGTTGTTATATAGCTTTTTGTATGAATAAACCATACATACACACACAAACACACATGTACTACATTTATATATATATAACGATTTAAATTTGATGGGACAATTTGGGAGAAATGCTTTAAATGATTTCATATAAGATTGATCTTAAAAAATTGTCTATTGAAGAAAATAGAGTATTTGTTAGAGTGGCTAGGAAAATCAGTAATCATCTGGACTATTCAAATTATAATTTTTATTATAAAAATTTGTAATTTACACATCAAATTTTAAGGGTAGTTTTCATAATTAATTACGTTTAACTAGAAGTGTAAATTGGACGGATCTTGTCAGAATTAACATTTTCAAAAAGGAAAAAAGCTATTTTTTCTGGAAGCGGAAAAATAATTCTAATCCCACAAATTTATTGAAAATTCGAAAATCGAATGGAAAAATTTGTTCCGATCCAAAATTGGAAATTCTCGAATCAGGATGATCAAAATATTGAAAATTTCATTTTTTTGCTTTATCAACTTATAATATAAAATTCATAACAATATTATTTATTGCTATAAAATAAAACAAAATAATAATAGACTGTCATGTAGATAATAAAACTAAAGTACAACCTTGTAGGCAATTGTAACAACCAAAGCATAGTACAAAGACACATGATTCTTGATTTTTGAACATCATCATCAAATGGTGAAAGTGACCAAGTTTCTTTCCTTGAAACTTTGAATAGTGTCCTTCACACTTTGCTCCAGAGATATAAAATTAATACCTAATGATTTTGCCTTCTGATTTGACACTTGGAATGGTGGTGTACCGGTAGCATCATTTTTCTCTGAACTGTAATTGAACAATATAGATCTATACAGTTAAACCTTTATAAATTAATATAAGTCGTGAGTTACAAAATTCTATTGAATTGTACCTTTTAGGAAGATTGAGCGTTGGATAGAGATCACGGAAGAAATTTAAAGAACAATATAACACGTTTGCGACGACGCAATATCGACCATTAGCTGAAGGATTCTCAAATGCTAGTACATGTGCAGATGCAACGTCTCTTACGTCAACGTGCATCAAAATTCCACCTGGCATTCCACTGCTATTTCCTGGAAAAAAAAAACGTGCACGGTTACAGTTAAACGTACATTATTGAAAATATTAATATTAAATGATGCGCATCACTAATAGCGCACGTATGTTGTTGGTTGAGGTGACCATTTAATTAGCTAATTAATTATTTAATGAAAGTTGATAAAGATTATATATACAACATGCATACCTTCTCTAATGAAGTTGAGAAAAAATTGAGAAGTGAGATTGAGAGTTGGCTGCAGCAGAGGACCAATGACGAAGCCAGGATTTATAACTAACAAGTCCATACCATTTTCTTTAGCAAAATTGCATGCAGCTTCCTCCGCTAATGTTTTCGAAAGAAGATACCATTTCTGAAAATATACACAATATATATATATATATATATATATATATATATATATATATATATATATATATATATATATATATATATATATGATTAGAGTTTATTGAAATAGAAGATATCCCTCTATGTTTATTTTTAGGCATCACACTCGACGACTACGCCTTGACAT